ATGGGTTTTGTTCCTTTACAGTGGTAAAATGGAAATATTTATTTCCATAAACAGGTTTTAGAAAGTCTGTGAGTAGAGCATCATTAGCAAAACAAACGGCTGCAACTGAACTTCTCTGAGTCTTTTTGGTTTTTTTTTCTTTTAGTAATTCACAACGTGGTCACTGATGTAGTCAAATCAACAGGTTCAAATGTATAGTATAGAAATATAAGATGGACTTCAGTGACTTTCTGCTCTACACCGTTTTTCACTTTATATTAGCAAGAAGAGTCCAAATGTTCTAACTTTATGAAGGCATCTGTGCCGTACTCAATATGTCAACACGACTCCTTCGACAGATTTTAAAACGTTTGTGGTTACCTTGCGAGCTCTGACTCTGCCGTAGTGACGCTCGAGTCAGGCGAGCACTGCTGCGTCTGTGCACACCGTCTGGAACTTCTGCGGTTTCAAGGTCAGCAGAGAAGTCAGAGTCCTCCGTGCCCTCGGAGCTGCTCCCTGCTGCCCTCTAGATATGACAATCAGAAACAAAGATGTCGTCACATGCAGACAAATATCACATGATCATGATCAATAGTTACATGTGTTGCTTTGTCAGTTTGATTTTACCAGTGGATAATTCAACAAAGATCCCATACTGGGGGGGGATAATCACCCCCGCTGCATCTCCTCTGGATCTCCTGCTCTGCACTCACCCATCAAGGGCTTGTCAATAGAAAGCATCAACACCTTCACCACCGACGGTGCTTGGACAGAGCCACTCATGGCTTTAGCACCGATGCTAATTCATCATCAAGCCTGTGTGTAACCTGCTCTAATCTCCAGGTCTAAATGACCAGTTAAAGTAAATGGAAGAAACTGAGAGTGTCTCAGAGAGACGACTACATCCGGATTCCTCCTGCATCTGAAATGAAAAGGGGCCGCTGCATCTCACTGAAGGGGTATAATGGGGGTTCATTCATCTGCTACAGCCAGCAAAGTGGGGGTGGGGTTAGAAGAGAAGGGGCCAGTATGTCATTAATATTTCAGAAAAGGCAGTACAGGGCTACATGCTGTGTAGCATCAGACCATGTGGTGAGTAAATATTGTGCATTTTTGACGATTTTGATCATAATTATACACAAAAACACGTCAGATGTATAAGGAAATTCACAAACAATGAAGAATTTATTTACATGTGATGCAGATCTTACTCTTTTTATTAGGCTTCCACTGATAGTTTAAATAATGTAATTTTGTCTTTTACTAAAGTGTTACTGTCAAAGTGATTAAACAATTGAATCACCAAAATATTTTTAAAAACGTATCCTAATTACATTCACAAAGGAAGTTGACAGAATTAAACAATTGAATCACCAACATTTTTAAAAATCTTAATTACATTCACAAAGGAAGTTGACAGAAATCAAATGTAGCTGCGGCCTTGAGAAAACGTTTTTCTTTTTCCTTCAACTACAATTTCAATTAGTAGCGGTCTAATATATAGTGGTGTTAGCACAAACTTGACCGCTAGAGGAGGCTGTCGGGTACCAAATACGGGCGCCACACTAGTGAATAGCTATAAATGCTGTCTACCGATACATACCGTATATTACAGCGCTGAAATCAAGTGTTCTTAAAAAGAACAACTGAAGCAACTGAAATATTGTTATATAAATCAAATAACCATAATATAAACGGATTACATATAATTATTGTAAAAAATATTAGGCTGAATATATCATTGACAAACAGAATATTGCAACAATATGAACCGAGTTTTAAAAAGGGCTGAAAAAAACAAAATAAAACTCGAAATGACTATAATTCGGCAAAAAATGAACAGGCATTTAAACTTAAAACACACCGTAAAACGACGTAGTGTTAACGACGTTTGACAACTTCTCAAACGGCCAAGCGCGCGATTTGCATACGACCAATCAAACCAAAAAGGGGCGTGGACTTCCAGCAGCTAACCAATAAAAATTGTACTTAAAGGATTCTGGCCAATCATGGTGTTGTTTTGATACACATGCTAAGCTTCGTTCTAGCTTTTTAAAACCAAGAGAACTCAAAAGCTACTTATTTCAATATCTTGCCTCGTCAACCTTGGTTCATTAAAAACATAAGTTGACGATTCTTAATCCGTATATGTGTGGGTGTGCACAAACGTCACGCTTTGTGCCCCTCAGAGGCAACGCAGTGTGAAAAAAACTCGGTACTCTCGCAAAAATAGCTTAGCATTTAGCAAACGTTTTTTATCAATTATATCAACACGCACACATTACAAACTGTATCCCCAAGCCACATTTGTGTCCTCTGAAAGTCGAGTATTGTTTATAAAAGCACAACTCGACTGCTGCTTCCACATTTGCTAACATTAGCAACGACGTTATGTTGTGCATCCCAGATGCATTTTGGAAGAAAAAAAACTCACCTTTCGCCGAGGCATTTTCAAAGATGGCGGGTGCGCCGACTCCGGTAGATTTTTAATTATATTGTAACGGAATTGCACTCCGGTTTAATTGCAAACTGTGTGATTTTGACATGAGTCAACTCAGCTGGAAATATGTACATCAGTTTCTCCGCACTTCCGCGCAGGACCGTTTGTTTTTCTGGTGCGCTCACAAATTCCTTCCGGATGAAACAAGGACCGCGACTGAGTAAAACGACCGATGTTTGAGGCCGATATTCGCAGGCGTTCTAATTTTTGATGATCAAAATAAATATGTCAAGGTTTAGAAATGAATCAATAAATCCCTTTGCACCCAAATAATTAAAAAGCTGTAATCGTTTTCTCGGTATTTACCCAGGTATTTGTTAAAAATTCCACAGAGCGGAACAACTCACTTAATACAAATATAATCGAAACGAAGTTAACACAAAAATGCGCGTATTTATGTTGAAAGTTATTTATATAACGTATATTATTTCTATTCGGAAAATTATTTATTTATTCATTTATTGGTGAAGCTGTCACTACCAAATATAAGGCTGCACCGCTATTGCTCCGACGTACAGTGACACGAGTGGGAGGAGAGTTAGCACGTTGAAGTTGACGTGGGTCAAAGACCTCGTCTCATCCGACTTCTGCTCTTTTCTTTTCCTCTTCTCACCCTCTTTGAGACGTATTACATATATTTCCACATTTCGACACCGACAGGGAGCAACAGAGAGACTTCCCCTCGCTGATCTGTCACTATTATGGCCGGCAGCACCACCAAGACAGTGTACGACATTTTTCATAGTATGGAATACGGACCAGCAGCAGCTTCCAGCACCGCAACAGCACAGGTAGCGCTACTACAAATGAACGTGGTTTGCACTAATGTTTTACAATAAACATCTGTTTATCTCTTTATTGCCCTTTAATATTCAATGTCCAACTACTCTGTGTCCAACCCGTGAAGTTCATTAAACTGTTAACTCACGAGGACAACATGTGACAAACTGAGCTACAAGTTCGACAGGAAGCGTCAAGAATAAAATATTGACATGAGTTAAGACTTAGGTTTTCACTATATAACATGATACTGAGAGATCAAGACAATAACATCAATAATTAAACTGTACCACCGTAGTAAACATCCGCCTCCAAACTTTCTAGATTCACTCCAACCCACAGAGATGTGTAGAGAGTGTGTGACATTCTTACTGGTTCTTCATGGAAAATATTAAGCTGGTTTTACAGCGTTTACTCAGTCAGTAATTCTATTTGTAGTTTCACTTTGACATCGATATGACGAACTACAACACAGTACAGACGGTATGGACCAGCAGCTAATAAATCTACTGATGTGATGTATTTAATGTCAACAGTGTAGTTCGTCAGTAGGACTTTAGGAGGCGATATTTCACCAGAAACTTGGGACTTCTGTACTTTGGTCCTGTGTCTGTAAATAGTTTACACACAAAGTCTGTTCTATAGCAGTAATAAGTCAGCAGTCAGTTTGATTCATTAGAAACAATTTCTAGCCTGGAGTTAAGTACTGAATAGTGAATAATGAATAATTCAAAAAAAGGTGTGTGTTTTGTGTTAGCATATTTCTAGCCTGGAGTTAAGTATTGAATAATGACTTAAAAAAAGGTGTGTGTTTTGTGTTAGCATGTGTTTGGTTTTGCTTCACTCTTCTTCATGTCCCTGAACATGCAGGGTTTAAATTTGACCTTGTCGCTGGATAAAACAAATGTATTTAGGATCACATTTAAGTAATGTTTCAGTTTTGTAGACATTCTTTAACTTTTTCTCTGTCTTTTCTGTTGTTTTTCCCCCGTCAGACGTGGCTGAATCGTCATTCTCACTCACTTGGTTTGTTCATCGGTGGCGAGTTTGTCCGACCGGCAGGCCGAGCGACGTGCATGTTATCAGACTCTAGAGGTAAAGAGCAGAATATATTAACAATGCTGGAGTAAAGGTCCTTGGTTTAAACTGACTGACAGACATTTCTACAGTAACAGTGTGGTCATCAGTTCTACTCCAGTTTTTTTTTTAGAAACACTCAAATCTACACACAGTGAATACAAGACCAATAATTATACTACATTCTGGTCAAATGGACTCACATTTTCTTGCTGTGACCTCCAGGTGCTGGTGTGTGCTTCAGCACGGTGTGTGCTGCGGAGGAAGATGTTTCCCAGTGTGCCTCGTCTGCACTCAGTGGCTACAAAGCCTGGAGTGGGATGACGTGCCACGACAGGGCGAAGGTGCTGCTCAGGTGGAGTAAACTTAGAACCCGGTCGGTCAGAATGACCTACAGCTGCGGTGTCTGTTGGTGTGAGGTCAGTTCACAAACGCTGTGGTCTTTAATCACAGGCTGGTGGGTTCTCTGGGTCAGTACACCAAGTGTGTGTCAGAGCTGTGTGATGTGTTCGAGGCCTCCTGCTCACCGGCCGCCCTGGTGAGACTCCTGCAGTACTACAGCAGCTGGGCTCAGCTCAGGGACACTGTCATCAGCAACTGGACACCTCTGGGTGAGGGGACAGAAAGTGGCATCATGGGTAAAAAACCCCAGAGTGTGACAGTGTTTTCAGTGTTGTATTCATGAAGTTATTGTTTGTCCTTTCTCAGGTGTGGTGGCTGCTGTGGCCTCTGACCGCTGCTCTCTTTATTCCCTCATGCTCAGAGTTCTTCCTGCTCTAGCTATGGGTGAGAAACACACACCTACAACATCAAAACAGTTTCTCTCTGCCACTCTGAGGTCGGGTCCGGGCCGTAGTTGGCCCTCGGACCTCTATTTGAATATTCAGTCTTTAAGGTACTGTCTGTTAAATGACGCCATCCCGTCTCCTTTCAGGAAACTCGGTCATCATTGTGCCTGGTCAGAGCACCACGCCTTTGGCTCTGCTCCTGGCACAACTGTTTGTAGGTGCAGGACTCCCTGCTGGTGCTCTGAATGTTTTAACAGGAAGTGACATCATGCTGGGTGCCAAGGTGGCCCAGAACTCAAGCATCAGCCACGTGACTTACTGTGGCAACAAAGAGGTGGGAGCCGGAGGCACGTGAGTTTGTTGATGTGTTCAGTATAAATGACATTTTCTAACTGTTCCTTTATTGGTTCAGGGTGCAGTCGCTTTATGTAAGGCCACGGCAGGGATGGGGTTAACACTGTCTGTTTCCCCCTGCATCGGGGGCACCTGTCCTTTCATCATTTTTGAGTCAGCTGACATCGACAGTGCTGTGGATGAAGTGATAGCAGCAGCTTTTAAAAAGAGGAAAGAGGTGATTCATGTGAAACCATGTTCTTATTTCTTCACATCACCCCAGCATTGACCTCACAGTCTCTGGCCCCGCCCCCTGTCCTCCCACGCTCAGGTCCAGTGGGTGCTGTGTGTGCAAGAGAGTGTGTTGGACCGGGTCGTGGCCCGTCTGAAGCTGCGTATGGAAGGGATGAGCTGCGTGGGCCTGAGCAGTGAAGCAGACAGGACTTGTCTGGACGCTGTAGTACTGGAGGCTCAGCAGCAGGGGGCCAAGGTAAGCTGAAAAAAAATGGGACAACAACAACAAACAAAAAATGTCAAAAGTGTAAACCTGCAGGTGTCACTAAAATCCACATTTTTCTTTTTCTGCTTCAGTTGATTCAGCCCAGTCCTCCCCCTTTCCCAGGTGCTCTCTACCCCCCCACAGTGGTTTGTGGTGCTGCCCCCTCCTCACCTTTTGTGGTCACTCCATGTCCTGGCCCGCTGCTGCCTCTCCTGACCTTCAGGAGCAACACTGAAGCAGTGACCCTGGGTAAGAAACAGAAACCCATCATTCCACCACACAAATACAACAACAATTATTATGAGATGAGAGGAAATCTATTTGTTTTGTCATTTAATGTTACATCAACAAGAGACGACGCCTGTCTGTGTTTGAACAGGTAATCACAGTCCTCACGGTCTGGCCGCTTCCATCTGGACTGAAGACCTCACACTGGCTCTGGAGACGGCAAAGAGGTAGAAGTGGATCAGAGATTTCCTCAGATGTTTGGACAGTTTCCTGTCTCACCCTCTGCCTCCCCCTCCTCTGCTCACAGTCTGTCAGTGGGTTCGGTGTGGGTCAACTCCCACTCTGTGTCCGACCCTTGTCTTCCCATCGCCGGTCACAAAGAGAGTGGAACCTGCACTGACGGAGGACGGGAGGTGATGAGTTTAATTTCAATTTTTTATTTCTGAAATCACAGCTAACTACTGTCTCATTCAAACTTTAATTAGCATTTTGTTAATGATTTATATTTTAAAACATTCAAATGTACTTTTCTTTTTTTCCTACCAGGGTTTGTATCAGTACCTTCGTCCGTCCTCTTCTTCTCCTCCCCTTCGCTCCTCTCCTGTCTCCATAGACTACACTAAGTTTGGAACAGCAGCTTCTCGCTCCTCTCCTGTCTCCATGAACTACACTAAGTTTGGAACAGCAGCTTCACCTGTTGTTATTCCTGATGACTCTGCCAGGTAAGTCATAACACATGTTATTTTAACTGTTACTAAGTGTTGTCCTTATAACCTGATTAAACTTTTTTTCCTCAGCGCTCCGAAGTTTTACTCACATTTTGTCGGAGGAAAAGCGTGTAAAGCCGAGTCTGGCTGCAGTGTGGCCGTGCAGCCACCAGGTGGGGGCAGCGTGCTGGGGTACTGTCCAGACGGAGGACGGAAGGATGTGCGAAATGCTGTGGAGGCAGCGATCAAAGTGCAGCCTGGGTGAGAGGTGCAGCTCTGTGACGTAGAACGTTCAGGTTCTACACAAACACAAACACACACACAAAGTTTGACTTTTATATATTTTTGCTTTGTTAATATTATTTTGCGTTCTGTTTCTCTGGTGTTGTATAAAACATTCTCTAGTTAAAATTCAACTCCTGAATAGAATAATCAACCTGTTAAAATTAGAAGAGGTGGTTCCACCTTGTGATGCAGACCTGTTTACTCTGACTGTTGTTCTGTTTATCACCAGTCAGAGTCCAGCCTTGGAGAATGATTTTTTTTTAAGTGTCGACACAGTGACATGATTTGATCAGTGAGAAATGAAGGGGAGTAGAGTGAATACAGAACAAAAGTCACTCATTTCATTTCATAAACGGCCTGCAGGAGGTGCCCCTGAGCCCCATCAGCACACATCTGATTGTGTTAATTTTGCACCTTTACCTTCTTCATATGATTTCCACCTCCAGCTGGATGAAGAAAAGTCCGACTGCACGTGCTCAGTCTCTCTACTCTCTGGCTAAAGGCCTGGAGTCGAGGAAAAAGGAGCTAGCAGCTACGCTTAGCATCGCCAACGCCTTGTCACCAGATGCGGCCGAAAAGGAAGTGGACCTGAGCTCAGCCAGGCTCAGTGATTGGGCGGCCTATTGTGACAAAATCCAAGGAGGAACTCTGGTTAGGGGTTTTATCCAGAACATGTATATTTTACAACCAAAAAGTGTTTTTTTTTTGTGTGTGTCTGACTGAACCCATCTCCTCAACTTCAGCCTATGCCCCAGTCTGGCTGTGCTCTCTCCATCCCTGAAGCCCTGGGCGTGGTAGGTCTGGTCCTACCTGACAGGAACCCCCTCCTCTCCATGGTCACACTTCTCGGTGCAGCCGTAGCCACTGGTAACGCCGTCGTCATGGTTCCCAGTCAGATGTTTCCACTGGCCGCTCTGGCATTCGTTCAGGCAAGTGACAAAGAGTTTGGTGCCGCAAAACAAAACAGTAACAGCAAATGGTCACTTTCACAAACGTTTCCTGACAACCTCAGAACTCAGACAATTAGAAATCGACGTCACAGAACATTAACCTCCCTGACCTTCGTCTCTGTCCTCAGGTGCTCCAGTCTTCAGACCTGCCTGCTGGTTTGGTGAATATCATCTCAGGAAAAAGGGATCAGCTGACAGCAGCTCTAGCCAATCACAGTGTCATCAAGTCCATCTGGTACTGGGGCAGTGCAGAGGTAAGGATTTAACACCGACATCCACACCAGCGGTCAGATGTCCTAGTAGAGTCCAGACCTGAGTCATTGGTGGTTCCTGTTCCTGCTGCAGGGTTGTCAGTACCTGCAGTTCACCTGCAGCAGTCCACTCAAGACCCTGAGACTGTCCTGCCAGGATACTGAAGGAGAGACAGACTGGTCTGAGCCGTCGCTGATGGAGGAAATGTGGAG